GGCAGGTAGTAGGTTGCGGTACTTTTCAAGCCATATTATTCCTCTGGTATGTACCTTGTGCTACCGCGTGCATCCCAAACGCCATCCAATTGGCTCAGAAATCTGGAAAGCTTTCTGCAGCTTTTCGGTCGACGCGCACCCTTACCTTATGATAAGTTTAGCTTGTTATCACCTTTCTTGACTTCGATATACGAACGTACGTGAGAGTCGGACAGAAGCAACGCGCGGTCCTACGCAGGTGCTACTTGCTCCGCAAAGACTGGACATACTTCCCGGGGTGGAGGCCGCGTCGCGCGCGAGCGCGGCGCCCTTGCACACCATCTGGAGAACTGATGCGGCGCGGTTGCGCAACGTGGAGATGGACGCAAGTACGTAAGTTCGCAAGGGTTGGTTGCGATTTTTGGTGTTCTACGATTTCTGCTTTCACGTGTTGGCCGTTCATTCTCGCCCCCTCCCGATGCCCCCGCAAGTGTGGACTCACGCCGAAGTGGTTCGTATGCAAAGCTCCAACCAGACCGCGGGTTTCAGTGGGGATACGTTTCAGGGCAGCGGTCCGGGTTGATGACCACTTGCTGACACGTGCCTGTCACGTGCTTTGATAAGCTTGGAGCTACTTCGTCGACTTTCAGGGTTCAATATGCTCGCCAGGCTGTCGCAGAGCTTCTGAAATAGCTGGAAACAATTTCTGATTTGTCTTTGGTTCCAGCTTCCGACTGTGCTTGGGATTCGTTTGCATGTGCATCCCTGAAATAGATGTAGCTTCGTGCTGCCACCTGTCGGAAAGCTTATTAAACATTGCAGACAATTGTTGCAGAGACGTGCCAGAAGAGTCGACTAGCGACAAAGACTCAAAGTCAGGGCGGGAAGTCTCCCCTGCGGAGCCTCGAGCAGGGGTCCTGTGGGAAAACGCTGCGACTGCGTTCCGGGCAGCGCAGATCGTGCTGAGTCAAGGTGCGTGCAAACGACTACGCTGACTGGGGCCCGGATCGGTATTGTCTTTGCGAGGACAATGCATGACCATTGTCCGTTCTCGAGACGTTATATATCCTGAAACGCTGGTCCCAGCTTCATTCTTGTTTCGCGGCTTCTGTATAGACTCCCGTTTCTCAACGAGGATCAAGTACTTATGACTTATCTGGGGCTCACACATCTCGAAACCCCCTTTGTCCGAGAAGGTGTCCGCCTAGAGATTGTTGTGATTTTCAACTTCCTTTCCGGGGGGCTGGCTATCTCACTTTCGACCGGATGCCGTAAGCAATCCAAGCAGACGAGCGCCAGACGAGGCGACTGATTTGCCTATTGATCTATCAGCCGCGATCCTACTCGTCGTGCACGTCCGTCTTTCAGATTCGGCCTTGAGCACAGCCCGAATGCAGCAGACAGTCGCAAAGGCAAATCAGAAGCGTCCAAACTTTCAAACTTCTGTCTGTCCATCGTCATTTCCGCAGTATCGCCCTCCATCGAACTGCCAGCCGTACCGTTCCCGCCGGCCGAGGCGCTTCCCCCGGGGAGAATGCAACGCCTGAGCGCGAGCGAAGCACGCTCGCTGGGCCTGCCGGGAAAGACCATCATTCTGGATGGAGGTGGGTCGCACCGACTTTTTCCGTGTGACGTCAGCAGCATGGATTCAATCTTACATGCTGACGTCAGACGACTTTCTAGTCCTTCCCCCTGGAAGAATGCAAGGTTTGAGCGAGAGCGAACCCGGATCACTGAGCCTGCCGGGAAAGACCGTCATACTAGACGGAGGTAGGTCGTACAGAGCTTGTCGAGAAGTTTTTGACAGTGCTGACGTTAGTAATCAAGATTAACTTCGATTTGCTGACGTGAGAAGGCCTTTGCCTGAGGCGATGCGACTTTTGAGCGAGGGCGAAGCGGAATCGCTGGGCCTGCCAGGAAAGACCCTCATACTAGATGGAGGTGGGATGCTAACGACATGTTTTTGCGAGCGCTGGCGTCGGCAGGATTTATGCACTTTCCGGGGAATTGCAACGCCTGAGCAATCAAGAGGCGGTCTGCCATGTGAGATCATCGTTCAAGATGGAAAGGTGTTTTTCCTAAGGGTCCAACGGGATCCTACGTTACACATGACCGTTGTTTTCTGCATTTTTGAGGTTCTCGAGTCTGCTGCCCTTTGCTGCTAGCAAGCTTCCGTTGTCGCCATAACTCGCGTTTACATCCTAACCATAGTTAGTCGAATACCTTACAACGTCAGCTCTTTTTTCTGCAGCCCACATTCCCGAGGCATTGTGGGAATCTGCTCGGTTCCATGTCAGACCGTTTCTGCAGCAAACATGCCGGAGACTCTGCACAGCTTGGGCTTGGATTCAAAAGATCTCTCGTGGAGGCGTTCTGGCTATACATCTGTTCTCGTGCAACAGCACTTATGAATGTTTCTCGCGCTTCCCTTCCGCAGCCCACACTCCGGAGTCGTTCCACGAGCTCTGCGCAGCCTTTCGCGAGCGCATGGGCGACCAAGTACCCCCAAAAGTGCTCTTCGTGGTCGCCATGTCCAATGACAAGGACCATCGAAAGTGCCTCGGAGAACTGCGGGGCGCGGACCTAAACCTCCAAACCCTGGTTTTCACAGAAGTGCCGGTTGCGGGCTCATTCGAGCGCGCCACACGCGCGGAGGCGCTCTCCGAATGCTGGGCGGAGATTGCGGAAGGTGGGTTGGACGTATCTGCTGATAATTTTGGAGTCGTTCTGCCACCGTGTAGCCTTGACGGCAAAGCGTCTGGAAGTGTGAGGGGGTTTTCAAGGTGGGCATGTGGTATGAGGAATTGGTCGCCAGTCAAGAGAGAAAACTTCGAGGGTCATCTTAGAAGGACTGCTGTTTCGAGATTCCTTCTCCGTGACCCGACCTCTCTTCTCTTTAATGTTTGCTGATACAGCCACGTACTTTACGTCCGCATCTGTTCAGAAAGGCCTCAAATTTGCCCTTTGGGTCTTCCTCATGAGGCGTGAGCTTCCTCTTGTTTACTTACATAGAACTTATCTTTCTGAAAGGTTGAATTCTGACGAGTCTAAGCGTTTCTCTTGGAGATTCAAAGCACGTTTAGATTGGTGATCATCTAGTCGACGTATAGAGATCCTTAGGGCCGCCTTGTTGACGTGTCGTCCTTCCGTGCTTTCCCTGACCTGTTCCGCCCACTTCTTACCAAACCCCAGAAAATGGACTTGGAAAGACAGAACAACAAATTCATGTCTCATAGGTCACTCGACGGGAGAGGCCGTCTGCGAACCCGTCTTTGGGGCGGCGCTCCGCCGGGTTGCCGCGGCGCCCGATGACGTCACGGTGTGCCTGGCGGGATCGATGCATCTCGTCGGAGCTGCGCTGGCCAGAATAGCGGGGCTCGACCGCGCAATCAGTGAAGGGACGAAGCCCAGCTAGAGTGAAGCATCTGGGGCGTAAAGTAGAGGGTTCTTAAAGTGGAACTGCTTGATCATTGGGTCGTCAGCGCTTCTCAGCAAGCTGACCCCCTTAGAAGACGTAGGAGGGAGCCCCGAATGCAGAGGACCAGGTTTGCGATTCGTATGACGACGACTGATTTCGACTAATTATTAAGCTCTTTTTTGATGTTGAGAATATTATGTTGCTCGACAAGCTCAGTAGGACCGACACCCGAGGCCGCCCGCTGAACCTTCAAATGCAGGGCTGATGGCCACCCAACAATTAGTATCAGTCAAGGCGGATGGAGCGCGCTCCGAAGGCCCTAGCTGATCAAAATGTACATTCTGGAATGCCGCTTAGAGCATGCACATATCTGTCAACGAGGCGCTCCTCTGTAGCTTGCATCAGGCGGGATAAGAGGCTGGTAAACATTCTTTCCCTAATGTTGTGAGGCTGAGGAGCGGGACCGGTCGTCACAAGCCTACACAAAAATCTCCCCAGTTTCCGTACGTGGAAGGGTGTACGTCGGGCCGAGACAGCAAGCTCGATAGTTCGATTCTGATGTAGCTTGCTTGTTAAACCAAAGGCTTGATGAGAGCCTAATTGGTTCTTAGATAATCTTGATCATAGCTAGTTTGGCATCTATTAAATGATTATCATGCAACTATCGCCAGCGAAGAACTTTGTGCAATGCTTCTATGTGGACGTGTATTGCATGTGCACCTTTTTGTTGTTCTTTGTACGATGCGATAATACACAAGCTACCTACGGTGGGTTCCGGCCGAGTCGACTCCGACTCGAACCGCAACGAAATTGTGGGACCCGGTATCAAATTCTGTCAGTGATACCGGCGGTTCACGTTACGCTGAGTCGGACTTCCGAAACATGTACGGTTCAAGTACTCAGGAATTTTTGCTCGGCCGTAAGTGAGTGTCATGAAGTTGTAAACAAGTGTATTATTTTACACTTTGACGGGAGCATGAAAATGCCACACTAAGATGCGGCTTATGCAACATGCAGAAACCTTTGACAAGCTAAAAAAAATGTTGGGGGACCGTCATTAGCTGTCCTTTGAAGCTCCAACATCATGTTTTGTTCAGGACAAATCTCAAATAGCAGCATAGGAGGCGCAAAGTTGGCCGCCATTGTTGGATTTTGAAGAGCGCCTTCTCTTACACTCCTATATCAAATCTCTGCACTCTTCTTTCAGTCTGGGTACCGCGGTACTCGTGCACGGTACAAGTCGGAAGTTCCGACCAAGACCATGAAATTTAAATTTGTCGGCCGCGCAGACTCGAGTCTCGCGCGACGGTACCGTACCTCCGGGTAGTACGTAATTGCCCGTTTGATCGACGTGTCAGGAAAAGCTCGATTCATGAATTCGGACCCGATTCTCTAGTACGGCCGATTACGATCGTTAGTACTGCGTACAAAATGTGTCGCGACGCGTGACACCGGTCATACAAATTTGAGACCCGACCGTCGCGCGGTCGATACCGTCGAGACCCACCATAGGTAGCTTGTGTACCAAAAAACGTTGCAGAGCAACGGGCAGTGGATGGTGAAAACTTTATCGAACTCAAGTGCAGTGTCATGATAGACCGCACCTTTCCCAACTTTCAAAACGCCGGGCCAGCACTCACATTCACCGCGGGGTTCAGATTCGATCGGACGCAAATCAACTAGGGGCCGCCTCGACACCGGCAACTCAAAGAGTGTCCAACAGCACCGCACTTGTTTAACACTTCAAAGCAAATCACGACTTGCCTGCATTGCACTTTCCTGTACGTCCTTGAGTGTCCAATATGTTGAATCTTCTGCTGGATTCAAAAGCCATTCGTATGCACCCGAGTTGCATTTCGTGATCATGATTTCGTTGGCACTAGTCAAGCAAGATCAACATCATTCCGGATGAATTTGGCTCATCTCATCATCAGAAACGTATGAACACAATGGTTGTCATTGTGAAAGTATGTCCAGAAATTCCCAAGTACTGCAATCTGCTTAGAGAGTACTTTTGACACCTAAAGACATGTACATAAATAAGCAACTTCCAGAGTCAATCCGCTGGACGGGTGCGTTCTAGCTGTCGTTATGATGAGCGGATATGCTCCGCTCTTTCTTCAACCAGGCCACAGCACGAGACGCTTGGAACCCGTAAAGCTAGTATCCTTTTGCCCCTCGGACTTGAACCCAAAACCGGGATCGTACGTTGGTAACTACGAGAAGACAACCGTCCGTCTTGGACCTCCTAGAACTATGGCCGTACTTCCAAGCTCCCCGCTTTCTGTTCTTGGTTTAACACAACCCAACGATGATATTCGCAATTACGTAGCTGACGACTGTTACGCACAGCTAACCATACCCGGTTAAGGCCGCCTCCGTATCGCTGACCGGGCCGTTAACCGGGCGGTTATGCGGCTTAACCAATCTACTTCTTGGCCTCGAACCTCCTCAGAATGCTGACGAGGTCCATTGGCTCCTCCTCCTGATCCTGCACATCAGTGATATCAAGCGTTAACATTTGTGTGTAGCGGCAAACGAAGCGTCAGCCCAGTGCGTTTGCTGCGAGGACGAACTAGGGGTGAATGGACACGGAGCAGTAGAATCTGGGTGCGATTAGGTGTGTTTGACCCTCAAGTCTTCACAGTGATCAGACATCGAGTCACGAAGGAAGGAACGAGCAGGGACAATGGACGAGGATTGGATGGAGACATGCGAGGAAGCGCGTCTCGGCTCTGTGACCTTCGGCTAGCGGATACATCTATCTGTACGGCAACATCGAACCACAAGAGAGGTTTTGGGAAGAATGCGACGAGGCTGAGGACAGAAGTGAGGGCGCGCGGGCGCGCACCTGTCCCTTGAGCTTGCGGCTGGCGGGGCCGCTGAAGAGGCCGCCCCCTGCGGCGGACTTCGAGCTGAAGATGGACTTGGGAATCAAGCCGTGCACGCCTGCGGAGCGGAACAGAACGGACCGGAACGCCGTTAGAGATTTGCTTACAGCCTGGAGAATTGCAACCCGTCCTCCGAGTTCCACTGGACCCCAATGAAAGCTCGTTTAGCAACTATCGAAAGGTACGAGTTGGCTCTAGGTTTTGCTTTGTTCCAGCCCGATGGAACGAAGAAGAAGCGACCGGCACGGTTTGAAGGCGGAACGAAAGAGGAAGAACGGAAAAGAAAGCAGAGATGAGGAAGAAAGGAGACGAAAGAACGCTCACCCCAGTTGCTGTCGACGCACTGTGCGATGCCGAAGTCGACGCCGGTGCTGATCAGAGACAGCGCCTCGCGTTCCTGCCGGGCGGAAAACTAAACGGGTCAGCTTCCAACGTCTTAGGTTTAGCGAGAATTGTCCCGGTTTCTATCTGACGACCGGTCGAGGACAGTCGGACTTCGGCAGTTCAGTGCACGACTCTGTAGACAGGCTCATAGGGCTGTATAACACACGGAATGCAAACTTTGTTGCACCGTATTTAACTTCCCAACCCTGCTCTCAGGGCAAGGGACTTTTTGGCGGCAAAAACGTAGAATTAATTTCCAATCTCGAGGGCTCAGGAGTCAGGTCATTCTTTCGAAGCTGGAAGTGACCGGTCCCCGCATGGTATGGTCCTCGACAAAGACCCGGTGATCGCAGAACAGTCAAAGACGTAAGATTGCAGAATCTAACAACCGCAAACTAGGGGCCGGGAGAGCGCGCGCGCGCTGTTTCCTGACCTGCATGCCGAAGCCCTTGACGAGGAAGTTGCGCGTGTTCTGGTAGGCGTTCGCGAGCGCCTTGTCGTTGCTGCGCCCGAACTGCGCGATCTGGCTGGGCACCGCCAGCTCGTCCAGGTAGTTGTTCAGCTGCGGAGGGGAGGGAGAACTAGAGATGGTCAGAAAACTCAATAAAGAAGCTTTCAGCACGCTTCAGAACACTCGTCATTTCAGAACGCTTCTTGAGAGTTCAGAACGCTTCAGAACACTCGACGCTTTAGAACACTCGACGCTCTTCGGAAGACTCAAAGCTCTTCAGAACACTCGACGCTATTCAGAACAGTCAAGATTGTGTGCGAAAAGTCCTGTACGCGTACGAACCTGCGTAACAATTCCGGCAGCCAAGTCTGTCCTCATGCTTGCTTTCTCAGCTGCGGTGGCAAATGCAAATTGAGGCGCTTCGGACTCTCGAACTCGAAATTGCTAGAGTATTTTGACCTTATTCCGACATCGCCCACGTCTATCCGAGTCCGAAAATATGGTGATGGGATGAAAAATGTAGAACAAAAGGAGTCGTAAGAGTCTAGATTCTCAGAAAATAGAAGGGGTTTTGTACAATCCTCCAGAAGGTTCTGCCGACGTGAGGAGCGAGAAAGGAAAGTGAATCGAATAGGCCTCGCACTTGATTACAGATTCTAAGGGCATACGCAAGTTTCAAAGACACACAGAAGAGAAGCTATGAAACTGTTGCTGGAGGGTATCGCAACCCTCGACGCCAAAAGATTCGGTCACTGGGCGACTTGTTCGAGCAGAGATTATTGTGAGCAGGAAGTACTCAACAATAAGTTCTCCCACCGCAATCACGCGGAATTCGATTGATGAATGAGAAAGAGCGCAAGTCGGGCCACTTACCGCGAAACCCTGGATGTCGATGTGGTCCTTGGTCTCGACGATGGGGAAGCTGCAGGTGAATCACATCTCGGTTTCAGCAAACGAGACAAGTGTTTCTGCAGACTCAGGAATCGTCTTGAAAACATCAAGAATGGCGGCATGTGGCAGTGGACAGGTTCTCGGATCCTCGTCTCTATGAACGATGAAAGGTACGGAGGGGGTTATTCAGGAGCGCTCGTTGGTTTCTGCAGAGGGTTTTGAAGACTAGAACTTCAAGACAAGAACTCCAAAGATTCAAGGAGGGCTGTGGGCTTCTGCCGGAGGGTTCTGGGCTTCTGCCGGGTTTCTTCAGGCTATCAGACTTTTTTGTCATGCGGATCCGCACTTCGAATTCTAGGCTTCGACGGGTTCTACATGTTCGGCAGCTTTCTGAGCGCTGCCTGGGCCCGCACGGACACTAATCGAATCTCGAAATTCAACGAATTGGTAGAAATGATGGCTCCAGGAATCTCGGGTCCGGGGAAAATAGTGTCTGGGGCTTACGTCAGGTTCTTGAGCGCGTTGGGCAGAGTCGCCTGGGGCAGCACGGAGATGCGGTAGACCGCGGTCAGGGACGCCTCGATGGCCGTCCCGGAGATCTCGGCGTCGCCCTGAGCGGCGTGGCAATCTGCGATTAAGGCCCAGGTTTAGGGCGACCGCACGAAGATACGGGTCGCCTGAGCCGGTGCCCAAGTTGTCAATCGGTTGACGCCAACGGTACATAGCTAGCGGGATATATTCTCCGACGAAGGAGTGTTCGGAGGGGTTTGCTAGCTGTGAAGAAATCATTACCTAATGACTGCAGGAAAGAGCTGTGACCTTAATAATCTTGCTGCACCTTTTGTGGGAGCTCAGAGTACATGTTACCACTCAGTCAAGTAGCATGCAAGCTTGAAGAGCAATCGGCATAGGTGGACTTACCACCAAAGAAGAACTTGGCCTCTGCAGGAAGAAGAAAGTTGACGTCAGATCTTTTGCCTTGCATAAGAGTGTCAGCCCTACCCTTTACTACGAGCGAACAGATGTGAGCTTCATAGAACAGCTTCATACATTTCCATTCGAACTTCAAAGTCAGGAGCGGAAGGCACGATACGCAATCCGACAGGCCGAGACCTCCAGTCGCGTCTTGTATCTCGTGACATCAGCATCAGAGAGTGGCGAGCTTGCCACGTGGACGTACCAGGGACCTCCACCTGGACGTACAGGGTGCTGCCAGTGCCCACCCTCCAGTTGTCCTGCGAGCGACGTCAGAAAAGAGAATCAGTACTCGAAAACTTCTTCAAATCCGAGGTCAAAGGATCGTTTCTCGCTAGACTTCAGGAGTGCTAGGCTTGCCAAAACACGCATAAATTAATCTGCGTTACTTTCTCCTGCAATTAGTAAAAGCAGACAACTTTGCAGGCGAGGCCGCCGGCGCTCCATGGATGGACTGTACCCGAACCTCGGTAAAGCAGGAGCAAAGCAAGTATTCAAGCTCTTGACCTCAAATTTGTGAGCGGTCCCGCCGAAGCTTTTAGAATAGTAACCAGGCCATTAGTTTCCGGAAAAAAGGGCTCACCATATTTCCACCGAAGCGGGAAGGGGCGGTGGTCGAGGCACCAAGGGTCCTGCACACAAGAAGTGGCGACGTCAGCCGGTGACATAATGATGCTGAAGCGACTCGACTTGCTGGGCAGTTTCGGAATTGGTCACAGTGTCTGGGGATCCGGAAGGGTTGTGCCTCTACGAGCTGGTGCGCTTATCTCAAAGTTTTCGGAGAGATGGAAGCTCAAGCTCACCGCTTAAAGTTCCTAAGGGACACCTCAGACTTTATGGAGAATACAGAACGAGGTCCTCTAATGCTGCAAAGGAATCCGAGAGGCAGGCTCAGCTTTTTACTGGTGTGCGTCAGAGGGAGTTCGGCGCTTACCCGTTGGGGGCGCCGTTGATGTAGTTCGCAGCGTTGGCGGGGGTCACGCCTGCAAGCGGGGGCAAAATGCTCAGAAAATGGTCTGATGCCGAGCATTATAAAGCGCCGGTCTATGTCGCCCATCGCTTTTATCATTCCGCCGATGAAAGAGGGTAGGCACAGAGAAAATGCGAAACGGAAGACGACCGAATCCCAGGAGCGGAGATCGTTTCAGAAAAGCATCGGAGGAAAGTAAGGTTTACGAACATGATAAGCGCTGTGCCTTTCCTAGGCGGCAACAAGAAGCAGCGGAACCGGAGCAGCGGACAAGGGAACTGAAGTATTCCTGGGTTGGGAGCCGGGCGGAACCAGCAGCGGAATAAATCGGTGGAAAGGGGGTGACAGAGCGGAATCGAGCGGAAAACGGGGCGGTGTCAGAGACCGGTAGTAGGTAGGGCAATTAATTCTGGGGGCTCACCGATTGTGCCCAAGAAAGGCCTCAACGGGATCCTCCAGTTGAAAGAGGCGTCCATGTACTGGATGTCGGTGGACTGGGCGGAACGGAAGCGGAAAGGGCGTCAGCGGAACCCTTTTCTGCTTGTGGCGTTCGACACGTGGAGGTGCAAGTACCCGAGAAGCGTCCTTCGCGGATAGTCTTCCCGAGAATTTCCTCGGATCGAAAATTGCGAAAGTGGCTCAGACGTAGGAGAAGAAAGCACGGCACAGGAGAAACTCTGACTCGATTTTCCCTGGAAGAGTGCGGCCGAAGGCAACAGCAAGTTTGACATCGAAACAAGCGCTCGACCATGAAGCTTTTTGCGCCAGACCTTCGCTCAAACGTTCCTCAAGCCCCGACAGATGTGCACCTATTTGTAAGTCAAAGACGTAGGAACGGAGTCAACAAACCCTCCTCCATAAACAAAAAACCACTTAAGGGTTTGTACCTGGTTAAGGGTAGACTGGAAACCCGGGGGATACTCCACGGGGTCAAAGCCGGTGGCGGTGGCGGAAGACTTGACGCCGATATTGGTCTTGTGGGGAACCGTGGCGCTCGTGACGACGGTCCCGTTGTCGGGGGGGATCAGAGCTACACGTCAGCAGCGTCAGATGACGTCAGCAGCGTCAGATGAAGTCAGCAGCGTTAGATGACGCCAGCAAGGGAGCAAACGGTCTCACGTTGTCCTGAGTACCAGCTTTGGGTGTTAGAGGAAACCGCTTCAGGGGTGACGTCAGATGAGGTGCAAGTGATCCAAGGTGGGAGTGAACTGGTGGAAAAGCGAGATGAGGGGTATATCGCTGTTACGCTCAATCGAAAACGATCGAAGCATGTGAGCGGCATTTCCAGATTCTTGGATCGCTAAGGAGACATATCTAGGATTGTCAAGCCAATGCATTGGGTCCTTTCACAATTGCGGCCCACTTGACAACGGATCTGTGGGAATTCAAGACATGATGGGGAATCTGGGGTGAAGGACTCACAAGGAGGGAAGAAGCCGTAGATGGGCTGGCCCCTGCAAATCGGCGGAGGTGAGCGATGTCAGCGTTGTTGTGGAAGTTTATTTGTCACTTTTTACCTTCAAAATCCTTGAAGATTCTTCCACAATAAGCGTGGCCTCTCGTCGTCGGCAGTTTTTGCTCACGTGACAAAACAACCAGCAATCAGACTCCTCCCACGCACCAACCCAAACTGATGCTCTGAACCTGTTTAAGCGAAGCGGCCGAGAGCTGTTGGAAACGGAACGAACTCGGAACTGAACGGAACGAAACGGAACGGAACGAGATTTGGAGAAATTCGAAGCTCACCAGCCGCCATACTCGTCGAAGTCCACTTCGTAGATGATGGAGGACGAGGTCGTCGAAACGTTGGTTCCGTCGGCGTTCTTGACGTTGAGCGGAATGTACCTGGCGGAACGGAAAAGGAGTTTCAGACCGCGGATTCCACTACACGCTGCAACAGGTCCAAGAAGAGACCAAGACAAAAGAGATGGGATCGGGTCACTAGTAGATCCAACAAGTCCAAAGGGAGACAACTTTCTGTGAGCAATGTCCGAAGTTGGGTCAGGCTTCAAGGCTCGGTGATTGGAAGCGACTGCGGTTGGAATAAGCTGCTTCGCTGACCGGACGCGACAAAAGCCTTTTTGTTCCTTGAGCACTTCGTTTCGTCATTTCCGCCAAAGTGAAACCAGAGTCATACCAGCACCAAATCGGAACACTCAGATCGATTCCCACGCAACCAGCATCGCAGTTACGAAGGCTCACGGCAAGTACGAACCACGACGGCTGCCTGGAAACTTTCCGTCCAAACATTGCGAGTACGTGTAGTTTGGGATGAGGAAGTACTGGCTCAGTTCACACTTCGATACACTGGAAACTCACGGTCCGTTCTGGCTGTTGATTCCGTAGGCCTTGCCGGTGAGGGGGTTCTTTCGGGGGGAGAGGCTCAGGATCTCGATCTGTGGACGAAACCGAAAACATTCGGAGTCAGAAAACGGAATAGTCATCGTCGCTTCCAAACCCAACGCCTTTTGAGAAAGCCAGGTTTATGCACATTCTCTATGTAACGACCGAGGAAAACACTGGACGGCGAGATCTTTCGAGACAGGTGTAAAGCATTCAGTTTGATCGACTGCTTCGAAAAGCCAAATCGTCCCAGATTACGAAAAGAGGACACCCGGAACTTTCGAACCCTCTGGGAGAAGATGCTCGAACGGAGCGCCGATAGTCAGCGGATATTGATCTAGACGTCTTCCACAGTCGAAACAAACTCCATCTGCTGAAGCAAGGCTGACGTCAGGTGCCGACGATGTCGTCAGCGGACCACGTACCTTGAGCACGTCGCCGGGGAGGGCGCCGCAAACGCTCAGGGGCCTGTCGGAGCGAGGGTGAGACGTCGGTGAGATTACGGGGACAGTGATAATTCACGCCGAAGCTGTGTTCTTATCTTGGCTTCATGCCGTGGCCGAAACTGCACCTACTTCCAAGCTCAAAAAACATCGGGTTTGTTGCCGTCCTTGCTATCATCCGGGAATCTGGGATGCCCAGTGTTGTTCGGTGGAGGCAAGCAATCTTTGGAAGCATGATCTTAAAATTTGACAGCCGAGCTTGGAGCCGGGCAGTGAACTGCGACCTACTGTGTTTGGTTCCTGGCATTCAACGACTTGAATACATGACAACATGGATATGATGTCATTTCTCACCCGGTGATGATGTGGCCGGCGCCGCCGGGCAGGATGGGGAGGGGCTTGGTCGATGCCGTGGCATCTGCAAAAACCGAATCGAGGGGGCTTAGCGCAACTGGCTCTAGGGGGAGTTCCCGCAATACACAGTCGGTTTTCAACCTACACGATGCGCTAGAATTTTACTCGTTGGCAGAGCACAGAGGGCACTAGAGTCGTTGTTGGCTAGTAATCTCTGAAGCTTTGTGACGGGAAAAAGTGAGGCTTTTACTTCACATATTCTTTTTCCGTCTTTCCCAAGGATTCGTTTGTCCTGGCTGGGGGTATTTTGCTGAAAAGCAAAACTAGCATAGAACATCAGGTTTGATGATACATATCTATTTGATAGAAAAAGGAAATGGAAGAGGTAAAAGAGAGGGAGATTAATGAGAAGGAACTCACTGGAGGGCCAAGCCATGAGCTCCTCAGCGCCCACGTCACCCTTGATCATCTTGGCGTAATCACTAGTTGTTTGTCAAAAGAAAACCGAGTGTCAGTACTGAAGAATGCTCTCCTCTTCGTCTCCATTCCCTTCTCCATTCCCTTCCCCATCTCCTCTTCTCCCCACCTTTCCCTTCGCCCCTTCCTCTCCTCCCTCCTCCCACCCTCTTCTTTCGACCCTCCTCCAATCATGCTGGTAGGGAGTCAAGCATTTCAAGCATCAGCTTCCAACGATTGAGCTATTGGCAGATGCCTCAACTTGCTGTCGACGGTAATCGAATCAGAAGTTCCCTGTGAAATGCCGTGGGGCTTGGCGAGGGTGGAGTGAACAGAAGGTGCAAAAGACAGGGAAAAACAAGGAATACCATGAGGAGCCAGGCTTCAAGGGAGCACTTACTTGGTGATGCCGCCAGTAAGGCACTCCATGGTGATGGTGTCTCCAGAAACGATGTGGGCCACTGTAAGGCAGATATGAGAGGTAAGGGACTCCGGTTTCCGTGAGCTTAGGTTACACTCATAACTGATGAAGATGGGGTTACAAACGCAATTGCTCACCCAACTGTGTGCAACTATTCGTCATCAAACGTGTTAACTGCTCGCTGCGATCCCAAAGCATATGGAAGATTAGAACCTGTGATGATGTAACTTTCTCCCCAAGTGTCTGCAGGACGCCACTCACCGGAGGGGAACTCCGGGTTGATGATTCCACGCTTCACCGTTTTGCTGATCAAGAAAAGGGGGTGTGATTTAGAGTCAGCTAAGGTGATTGATATCTCCTCTGAAGATTAGTGGCTCACAGACCAGCAAGCAGGGCAGAGAGATTGCAACTGGATGCTTTCTTGAATTGAGTAAGATCTGAAACAGCCAGGAGGACTTACGTGTGAAGACCCAATCTCATGCATTTCTACAGAAGTGAGAGCTCATAACAAGTGGCTGCAAGAAGGGTGAATGCATATTGAATCCAGCAAGCATCCCATCTAAAGATCTCCAAGTTCCTTCACTGCCCAGCTCCGTTGAAAGCACAATGTCACTCAAAGAGCTGCACAATGCCCCCAAAGTAGGCAAGTTGTAAGGGGAATCAATCACCAGACAGTAATATAGAGTTAAGGGAGTAATTGAGACTTTCTAAAGTTCACTGCAGCAGGAAGGAAGTAGCTAGGAGGACTGTTGCAAAGCTCACCTGTTGGCTTGGACATAAGTCGTGCTGGGAGCTCCGCACGTGGGGTCTGGGACCTGGATGGAATCGAGCAGCGCCGCGGCGGGGGGGGCAATGCTGCAGGCGAGCAGGACAGCCAAAGCTGCCCCCAGGAACGAAATGCGCGCCATCGCTAACGCACGAGCAGTGATTGCCGAATAGGAGCTGAGTCTTGCTGACCGCGCAACAGCGAACGATAAGAAGAGAGAATGAGAATCTGCAGAGACGAGAGCTGGCCTTAATCGGGGAGGCCAAGGCAGCCAATTCGCAGCTTGGAAGAGTGGAGTGGAGCTGAAAAGAAGGCGCCCGTAGTCACGACGCAGAATTCCACAGAGGAAGCTGGAAAGACCAGCTCACAGTCCGCCGCGAGAACTGAGCTGATGTCGACATGCCATTTCTTGTTGTCATGACTCTTACTCCTACAGCCTACGGTCTACCTACCTACGGTAGATAGGTAGGTACCTAGCTTGCTGTGTGCAGTGCACTGTGCACTGTGCGTTTGCCAAGGTTTGCCAATCATTCACAGTGCACTTGTACCCAAGAGTCAGTGGTACGTCCCGGTACCTACCGTGCCCCTCTGAAAATTGCCCCCCGGAAACATGGTCGAATTTCGAGAGAAATCGCAGTCGAGTAGCCGCGACACGGGCAAAACCCGGTGAGTATATACCGGGCAATTTCAGCTTGCAAGTAGAACTAAATTGTTCCGCGGTGTGTTGCTCCGGGCCATAGCTTCAGGTTCCAATCCTTGTGCAAAGGGCCATGGTAATCACATGGCCCACGTGCTTTTCATAATCAATGACGAGACGCGGCTATCGTGTTCGAGCTTTTCAATGATTGCTCCGCACAAATATCCAGCCCTGGTTCGCCGGCCCGAGTTCCGACCGGACCAGAGTGGCGACCTGAGCTGGCGTCGTCAGGGGTGCGGCGTCGCCTTCTCGTGGCAAAAGGTTCCGGCCGCCGCATGCAGGCACACCACTCACAGACTGACATCAGCTTCAACCTCCAAACTTGCAGGCTGGCATTAGGGTCACTACCGACACTGAACTTCGCGATGATGACAGGAGTCAGGACTGCTTCGCACACTGCACAGGTATGGATAATCACAACAGTAATAGGTAGGTAGGTATTAGGTACCTACCTAAGAGTAGGTACCTACCCTACGCTGCGGCAGGAAAGAGGTGCTGGGCACACCACGAGCGGCGATCCACCATGCATGAAGACGGTGTGAAAGCTTTTGGGCAATACCGCACCTACGAAGTGACCATCTCACAGGTGCTCTTTCTTTGGTGGCATTGCGATCGGCAAGCTGGTTTGCAAGACCGCAAGAACCCAGAAACTCGGTTGTCTTCTGCGCAACCGAGCTGAACATCCATACGGCCTAGCTAGGAGTACATCGACGTTCCTTTTGAGGAACAAGTATTTTGCATAGACCCTGTCCAGACTCCTAACCAAGAATCACGATTTATCGCAGGAGCTCCTGAGCCTCTGAGCTCCACAAAGATAACCTGACTGTCATTTAACCCAGGGTGCAGCTCTCAGGCGTAGGTACATGCATGCCCGCACTGCATAGGACCTAGGAAAAGTGTTCCGACTGTCCGATCCATCACTGTCCGGACTCCGATCCATCACTGTCCGATCCATGGCTGTTGTGAATGCAGTTGGCATTGTGCGCCAGTGATGGGACACTTGTCTCCACTTTGACACGTCATCTTGCCGTCATCAAGGCGGCCAGACAATCCTGGCTCTCTGTTGGTAATAGACCTGTATGATACGATAAGACCAGAGCGCGCTCACCAGCGACATAGGTAGGTATGCACAGCTGCCCAGAGCTAGACTCAAGAATCCTACTCCTTCACCTCTCATCAGATCAATGTGGGAGGAGCTGGAATTAGCCAGCTGAATCTTCCCAGCTTGGAAAATTCTTAACACCACTGGTAGTTTGATGGAAGGCTGGCCTGCAATGAACAGAAGATCTGCAGCGCAAGACGCGCAGAGCTGCTAATTTTTCCAGTAGGTGGAGAAGCTGGGTGTGTTTTCAGCTGAATGCTGAACTTAGCGACTGCGTCAAAAGGGGCTTTGGAACAAAAAAGGCCCGAGCTCACACAGATCTTTCCTAGCGCTTGAAGTTGGTGGGCTGTTAGTGATCATTCTTGAGTGGGCAATTCCCAGCAAGTTTCTGCAGCCCTTTAGTAAACCCATTGTTTTGTACAGCAGCGGCCGCTTGGCGCCGGGCTCTGGATGCTGGGGCCAGCACAGCAGCTGAAACCATTTTTCTGTTGAAAAATACGTTGGGCTTTGACACCTGGCAGCTCGCACTAGCGTTGGCTGTGGGCGCGAGGGCACTGCAAGGCTGGAAGTGACCTCATCTCTCTGAGACCCCCACTTAACTTCTGCGATCTAGCGCCGCAGTCTGATCACAATCAGTCAAGGAGCTGCTATTTGCTACGCAGCCTAAAGTTCGAAACCGTGAACCTAAGCAGCAAATTCCGGTCCTTAGAAAGTTTGAGGTCACAGAAGGTTGGCGGGATGAAGGTCTGCTGGGCTTCTGACGTCAAATCGGGGCGCCAGCTGTGCACTGCCGGGCTCTGGTTGTTGCTCCTCAGTTTGCTGAGCAATGCTGACATCAGCGAGGCCCGGCTGCGAGGGTGAGGTCATCTGTGTGCCCATCTCACTGGCTGTCTGAGAGCCGAGGAAATTTGTGCTGAAAGCTCACACTCAATGCGGTGGAGCTTGAGAGTTGCGCAGGCTCTGTAAGGAACCGCTTCTAAAACGCCTCAAATACTTGGTAGTAGTTTTTCAACAAGCTGATGCAGGGGTCAATCTGAAGCTTGAATCTGTTTCTTGTCGCAGACAAA